CGGAAACAAAACCCAGTCAGCATGCTGCTGACTGGGTAATAATAATAATAATGATTTATTCTGTTAATAATTGCTAATGATGTTTTTGTTTTATTAATGCAGTACGTGATATTTTATCATTTATTCGTTTCATCTGTTTCTAACGTTATTTGAATATTTTCGGATATAAATTATTTCTATATACATGTCCATGTAAATTATGTTATATGTGAAACCTTTCGTAATTTTGACATACAATATTTGTCAGGATTAATCATTACGGTTTTTATAACTTAATCATAATAATAATAATGATTTATTCTGTTAATAATTGCTAATGATGTTTTTGTTTTATTAATGCAGTACGTGATATTTTATCATTTATTCGTTTCATCTGTTTCTAACGTTATTTGAATATTTTCGGATATAAATTATTTCTATATACATGTCCATGTAAATTATGTTATATGTGAAACCTTTCGTAATTTTGACATACAATATTTGTCAGGATTAATCATTACGGTTTTTATAACTTAATCATTTGATAACATTAATAACATTATAATACAGTATTTTTCATAGACATATATGTATTAATATCAATTATTCTGTTAATAATTGCTAAAGTTTTTTTTTTAAATTAATGTAACACGTGTTATTTTATCATGTATTAGATTTTAATCTGTTTCTGACGTAATTATATGAAGCCCCTAAAGGAACATGGTAAGAAAAATTAAACTAGGCCTATTAGTATTAAAATATTAAACTATTTCGAAGGAACGAAATAATATTTTGAGGGCACGAATTTCGTGCCCTCGAAATATTATTTCGTTCCCTCGAAATAGTTCAATATTTTTTTTTCTAATCATGTCACTTTTGGGGCTCCGTATCATTTAAATATTTTCGGACATAATTTTTTTTTCATGTAGTCTAGATATAAATTCTTTTATATGTGTTATAATCATTTCTAGCGTAGAAAATCATAATGTTGAACTTAATATCATGCATTAATGCATCATGTACTATGATCTTTCTTTTTTAATTTCCAAAATATTTGGCCTTATCGTTTAACATTCTCAAAAAATTATTTAATCATGATACAAAATGATATATTGGGTAATTGCGTATCATTTTGTTATAATTTGGGTAATTCCCTATCATTTGGGTAACTGCGTATCATTTGGGCAATTTCCTATCATTTGGGTAATTCGTCAGACCGCTGGGGAGCTAGTAACGCATTCTGAACGGGGCATCTATCAGCTTATTATTTTTTAAATACTTTCTCATCTCATTGACCCCTCCCCTAAATTTGAATCCAGATCCATCCTTGAATATATATAATCTAGAAATTGCAAATTGCAAGTGAAGTGCTGCGAAGTACAACTGCATATAAATGTTCTTCGAACAAAATCATTTATGCGAGTCAAGT